ATGTACCACAAGTAATACACACTGAGGCGATTATATACATTTCGATACATGACTGACAAGGCAGATTTTTATTCCCACAATAAGTTGCCATTTCTTTCTGCAGTAGACCAGTTGCCATCCAAGGCTATAGAACCCAGTTTGTTCTGCTATTTACACCATAGCTGGGGGGGAGAAGAAGAGGATTCATACCTTTTCCCAAGGATATTAATAAGTGAATATAATGGATTTGAATAGAATTCAAACTCAGCTCTCTGATTCCGCAATCAGAGCCTCTATCCATTACTCCACTGTGTTTCATATATTAATTCCATATATTTGAAATTGCAGTAGCCTAGCTCTCAATTTCAGTCAAGATTATTTTAGGTGTTGCCATAGAAGGATATGACTACACAACCAAGAAATTCAAATTTAACATTGACAAAAATAGTCACCTACAGTGTGCTAAGGTTAACCATCAGGTCTGGATTATTACTAATGACAATGGATCCTGTTATTTTTTTCAACTCTATAAACAAAACCTTTCATAGAATCCTGCTTATTCTAAGTAATGTAATTTTCTGAAGCATCTCGTCTTGATTCACAATGCCAATGTTAATCTGCCATTTTTGGATTTTGTCTGACACTGTTCCAAGGGCAACAAGAACAACTTTTACTCTTTTAGGCACTGTTTTATTATTATGAAATATTTGATTGAAGAGAGCAGAGAGTGTATTGCAGATGAAAACTTAGTATTCGTTGATATTTACTTTGGCGCGAGAACATTGTTAAGATAGAAGGAAATTACAGTATGATGTGGAAAGCTTGTATCAAGTTTTAAGGTTGATAATATTAAACTTGCAAATTATCATAATCCCAATTATTCAATATTATTATGTTATTATTCTTATACTATTTCTTATTGTCAACATTATGAGAATTGACATATATTAAGAAACAAACCGATTCTCCACCTACTACTCCACCAAGATATTTTTTTTTCCAAATTACGCATATTAACATACATCATTCAAACATCAACACTCCTAGAAAGCATTTTATTTCATTCTTAGAAGACTGTCTGCATCCACACGCCTTCATTGCTCTTAACTGTCCCAATTATCCAATAAACAAACAACGATCTGAATGGACTTTATTCAGCTAGAGATATAATAATCTATCAGTATCAGGCTAATTCACTTTTTATAGCGTTGCTAGGGAAATGCATGGAGAAGAAGGATAGAGAGGTTCAAGCATCTATAGAGAAACAAAAAATAACAAGGAACTGTCTGGTCAATAAATGTTGATGGCAGAATGTTTTGAAAAAAAAAAAAAAATCAGCTTAAAATCTTTCTTTGACTAAAGATTTCTCCGCCTCCCCCCTCCTCTCTATTTTTTTAAGCAAGGAGCCAATTCAAATGTTAACTTGAAAAGATAACTTTAAACATAAGATGTATGCCCTTACGTCTGACCTTGTGAAATCAAGATGAAGAATATTATTTACAAGGAAGAAACATTTTCCATAAAAAGGGTTTGAATCAGAACAAATTTCTAATCAAACTGAACAAACCTATGAATTTGAAATATAAAAGGTTACAAAAAGAATGGAAGAAAGAAATAAATTTTTTTCGTGTTCAGGGAAATTAGTCAATGATTGATTTTGTTTATTCTATGGGGAAAAAATGTCTTTTATGAGAACAAAAAGGTTATCTGCAGTTTGTCTTCCTTGAATTTGATTGGAAAGGAAGTGACTGAGAAGCAATTGAAAAACAAATACATAAAAAAAAAAAGATCAATAAATAAAAAAAAGTTGAAATTAAACTCAAAATCTATTTTAATGTGTTCAATTTACCCAATCTCAATAAAATAAAACTGTTTTTTATATTTATATGTAATAACAGATGGAATAAATTGAATTGTTAAATAAAAATTGTTAAACAATTTTTTTTTTCAAATTATTTGAACACAACAGATTTAGCCAATCTCAGCAAAAGAAAAAAAAATTGAAGCAAAAATTAAATTAAAAAATAAATTGTCAAAGAGAAACATTTAAAAAATATCACACTAAAAGATAAAAAAAAATAAAAAAAAAAAGTAAAATGAAAAGAGAAAAAAAATTTGCCTATTTTTACTTTCAGTAAACAAGAGGAAATGATTTAAATAGAAAATTGAAAAGAAAGAAAAAAAATTCAACCAGAAAAGTTAAAGAAAAAATGTTTCAATTTACAAATTCCCAATTAACAAGAAAAAAAAAAAAGAAAGAAAAAAAGAAAAAAAAAAGGAAATCTACAAAAAAGGCAACGAGAAAGCAAAAGTGAATTTCTGAATCGAGAAAGCCTGAGGCTGATGTAGGCACTTATTATTTCTGACCTGTCTATTAAACAAATGAACGAACATCAAGTTAAAAACTGCTGAATTATTCAACGAGGTGTCACACAGAGACACATGAGTAGAATCAAGCAGAGTCTATAAAATGCAAAAATGGACACGACCAGTGACGATGCCATGTAGAATACAAAATTACTTGGAGAGAGAGAGAGTGACTGAGATGAAATGAAAGAGACATATTAGTGAGAGTGAAAAATGAGAGTGATAGGAATGAGAGAAGAAAAGTGGAGAGAGAGAAAGAAGGAAAGTGGAGAGAGAGAAAGAAGGAAAGTGGAGAGAGAGAAAGAAGGAAAGTGGAGAGAGAGAAAGAAGGAAAGTGGAGAGAGAGAAAGAAGGAAAGTGGAGAGAGAGAAAGAAGGAAAGTGGAGAGAGAGAAAGAAGGAAAGTGGAGAGAGAGAAAGAAGGAAAGGAAAGAGAGAGAGAAAGAAGGAAAGTGGAGAGAGAGAAAGAAGGAAAGTGGAGAGAGAGAAAGAAGGAAAGTGGGAGAGAGAGAAAAAGAAGGAAAGGGAGAGAGAGAAAGAAGGAAAGTGGGAGAGAGAGAGAAGGAAAGTGGAGAAGAATGAAGGGGAGAGAGAGAATGAAGGAAAGTGGAGAGAGAGAATGAAGGAAAGGGGAGAGAGAGAAAGAAGAAAAGGGGAGAGAGAGAAAGAAGAAAAGGGAGAGAGAGAAAGAAGAAAAGGGAGAGAGAGAAAGAAGAAAAGGGAGAGAGAGAAAGAAGAAAAGGGGAGAGAGAAAGAAAAATGAGAATGATAGGAGAAAAGAAAAAGGAGAAATGAGGGTGATAAAAAACAGAGAGAGAGAGAGATAGAAAGGAGAAATGAAAGAGAAGAATAGTGAAGAGAGCAAAGAGAGAGGAGAAATGAAAGAGAAGAATAGTGAAGAAATGAGAGTGGGAAGACAGTGAAAAGGGGAAGAGAGTGATAGAAAAACTCAACAATCCAAGAGAAATGCCTTTCCCCCATCTCTGTCTCTAAAGACAGCAACACCCACATTACCACTGTCTCCTTTATATATCTAGTTGGGGGGGGGGGGATGTGTTATTTTCCTAGAAAGCCACCAGGCCTTCTCGTGAAAAGGACCAAACATGTAATTGTCTGCAGGAATAACAACAACAACAATAGAGGTAAATATAAAAAGGGTTAAAGAGTTTTCAGGGCATAAGGATTTGAAGAAGGGGTTTGATAGAAGAGGAGAAACAAACCCCAGCCTTTCATTTGCACCAACATCCCTCTGGCACAACAGCTACATAAAACATGACCGATCAGAGTAAAAACAATTGGCGGTCTAAGTGAGCAGGATATGATACATTGCTTCAACCCAGGTTGCCATATCGATTTCTTTATTTCGTTTGCCTTGATTTCAGCAGAGTAAGACTTTAGCAGTGGCATATTGCATGCATCCCTTCCACTCTGCTGGACAGAGAGAAACAGAAAAGACAATCTGATCAGTAATCTGTAACATAATTAGGAGAAGGAAAGAAAAAAAACAATTTGAGAGAAGAAAATATGGTTTTAACCAATCAATTTGGTGAGGTGGCAACTGAAGACTATATTCCCAGGACTACATTATTTCACCATGAGATCTTCATCATTCAGAAGGATTATTTCTCAATCACGACACCAAAATCAATCCCAAATGCCTTTGGTTCTATTCTCAATGGTGGGTTCTTTAACAAGTTAATAAAAACAGGAAAGGTAGAAATGAAGTGGAAAAATTAATATCAGATAGTTTTTAGATGCAACCTTTTCAAGAAGTTGGGAATTTATTTCAGGTGTCCTCATATCACATGTGAATTATGATTAAGTGATTCTGTTCTGTTGGGTGTCATCACCAGCTTCTTGTGGTTAATTGGCAATTCTTCAGGTCCCAATGCTGCATCACAGGCTTAAGGAATAATGAAAATTTTTCTTTTTTTAGTTTTGATTTCTTCTCTCTTTATTTCAGCAGGTAGACAGTAATAGTAGCATTGTTTCTTGGAGGTGGGGAGAGGGTGAGGATAGATGTCAACAAGTTGGCCTACTACCCCTCACCATGTGGTGGCCTGTTTTACTGAAGAATCTGGCAGTGGCTTTAACCTTCAATTCTTGTAACTATACTGACTGTTCCTTCACATTTTTTGAACTTATATTAAAAAATTTAAACAAAGATACTTCATCACTGTCAGGATTCCATACTTGTAGGGTTCAAATCATACCTATACAGTTGAGGTCATCAGTTTAGGGCCAGCATGGCAAAATTTACCATTTGGGGCCAGAATGGAATGAAACAAGTTATGGCACAAACAATGAATCCATTCATAAAAATTCAGGATGTGGAATTAGTAAATACAAAATACTTCAAATATCTTTTGGTGTTTGAATCAATTATAAGAAATTAAGTATAGGAGAAAAAGAAATTGAACATAGAATAGGCTGCGTGTAGAGATAGTCTCGCCCGACCCCGCAAGTTGCTACAAAACCAAAAGATATGAAGCTCTTGCATATATACACATAAATGTGTGTATATGTGTATATATATATATATATATATATATATATATATATATACACACACTCACACAATATGTGTACATATATATATATATATACACACACATAAATATATATATATATATATATATATATATATATATATATATATATATATATATATATATATTTCCATAAAATAGTGACACAAATGCATATTGCTTTGGGCATTGTGTGTATCTAATGAGCAGATTGTCTTTTTGTTAGGCCAACTTAAAGCTAGTCAAGGAATTTGTGTTGTCAATTGTGTGAGCCAAACATTTTTCTTCACTAAAACAAGACTTGATGGAAATAGTTGATTAAAAGACAACAAAAAGAAACACCATTTCCTATTTTCATTGATTTCTGGAAATGAAAAGGGGAGAAAGAAAAAAGAAAAGAGTCACTGAAAGGAAGAAATGCAATAATGTTTTACATTGAGAGGAAATTGTTTAAAAAAGGTAGAAAAAAAAAAAAGACAGGCCACCTTATTGCTTTCAGTCATTATTTCTGTGGGCTTTTGTCACTGAGAAGTAGAGATGAAGAAAAAACAAAACCTCAAAATAAATGATTATAATCGAAAGATAAACTGAATATTGTAGTGTAGAAATTTAACTAGAATCAAAAAATATGGCGTGTTTTTTTTCCCCTTGTTTTTTCAAGGTAAGGAAATCAACATTCATGAGGCAAACAGATGGGGGGTGGGATAAGATGAGGAAGGAAGAGAGAGGAGGAGAGAGTATGTAAAGAGAGAAAAAGGGAGAAGAATGAGACAACAAACAAAAGAGAAAGAAATTGAGAAGAAAAAGAGAATGAGATTTTGAAAGAGAGAAAAGAAAAAGGAAAAAAATTCTTAAAGTACAAAGAAAAGCTATAATGATACAAAGACCAATCATGTGATGTGGAAATATTGCAAAATAAGGCAAATTGATATTTTGTTGTCTGCTTACCTGATAGCCTCCATTGCCAGTGCTTGAGGAAGAACTTGCCTGTGAAAAATAAAGAGAAAAATTATAGAAAAAACAAAAATAAAAACACACATTCAGTAAAATACAATCAAAACAGCATAGCAAGTGTTGCTATTCATAGAAAGCAAACATTCCATGTAATTCTTATATTTCTTCATGTTAATGGTTTACAAATACTATCAGGACAGTTTAAAGATCATCTTCTCTTGGAGATAAGCATTAATGAAACTCACCAGTCCAACATTTGTACCCATCATTTTTTTCTTTTTTGTCTCAAACGTCCAAGAGCTTACTATGTGTTAAAGATATATTGTTTTCAAAGACTGATTCTTAATTTAGCTGATGAAGTGTTGGCAAATAAATTATCAAAGAACCTTTTATAATGAGGAATCTGAGCAATGTCTAACCTCAAAGATACTGAGCAAAGGTTTCAAAGGAGGAAACAAATAGCATCTTTGACATTGGCAAATATGCTGCAATTGTAATCTCAAGGGACTGCTAATTCTTCAAAGTGGCAAGATTTTCAGCATTAAAAAGCTAAACCTTTTTAAGTGATTCTGATGAACAAACACTTCCATTCATAATACAAACACTTCCATTCATAATGTGTTTCCTTGAAAATCACACCCAGCCATAAAAAAGTAAAAATAAATTGACAACCAAAATTTCAATAATTAAAAATTAAAAAAAAAAAAAAAAAAAAAAAAGATGAAATAAGCTAATCAAAGTAAACAATCTTAGATTCAAAAAGACTAGAAAAGAAAAAAGAAAAATTCTACCCACCCAACCAAATCAATGATTATCATTCTTTTCTCTCCATTTCGACCCACACGGCAGTAACAACTCAGTGGAAAATTCCCTCCAAACTCATAGCTTATCTCATTAATTAGGCATAATTAAACATTCTTAGAAGAAATAATGATAGTGCTTCATGATAATGTTAATAATGATAACAAATTATCGTTTTTCCTAAGTAGAGACTCATTGTAAGACAGAGACTAAAAACCAATCCTTTAGAAGGAGGAGGTGAGTGTTGCTTTGCTCATGATTTTTCTCTTCCTACCATACAGCTGTGATCTAAAACAGGCTGGGAGATACTAATTTGGCTCCATTTAAAACAAACCTAATATTATTTGTGCGTTACCAAAACAAGGTTTTGGCTATAAAAAAAAAGAAAAAGTTAACATTAAGTGAATAGTTGATGATGTTCAAATAGTTGGAAAGTGACCAACCAAAAAGACAAAACCATTTACAAGTAGAAAAGAATGGTTTTATTCTAATGATTAGAAGAATAACTGGTCATTAATTTTTAGTGTAAATTCAGGGTTGCTTTCTATGGAGAAAAGCAAAAGAGTCTGAGGAAGCAATAAAAAGAAAGATGAAAGACAAGGGAAAGGATGATAAGAGACAAGAGGGAGAGAAAAAGAAGGGACGACAGGAGAGGGAGGGAGAGAAAAAGAAGGGACGACAGGAGAGGGAGGGAGAGAAAAAGAAGGGACGACAGGAGAGGGAGGGAGAGAAAAAGAAGGGACGACAGGAGAGGGAGGGAGAGAAAAGAAGGGACGACAGGAGAGGGAGGAGAGAAAAGAAGGACGACAGGAGAGGGAGGAGAAAAAGAAGGGACGACAGGAGAGAGGGGAAAAAAGCAACGACAGGAGGGAGGGAAAAAAGGACAACAGGAGGGAGGAGGAAAAAAAAGGACGACAGGAGGAGGAGGAGGAAAAAAGGACGACAGGAGGGAGGAGGAAAAAAAAGGACGACAGGAGGAGGAGGAAAAAAAAAGGACAACAGGAGGAGGAAAAAAAAGGACAACAGGAGGGAGGAGGAAAAAAAGGACAACAGGAGGGAGGAGGAAAAAAAGGACGACAGGAGGGAGGAGGAAAAAAAGGACGGCAGGAGGGAGGAGGAAAAAAAGGACAACAGGAGGGAGGAGGAAAAAAAGGACGACAGGAGGGAGGAGGAAAAAAAGGACGACAGGAGGGAGGGGGAAAAAAGGACGACAGGAGGGAGGGGGAAAAAGGGAGTTGGAAGAATAGGCAGAAGAAGAAGTAGAGTGAAAGAAATTTTTTTTTTTTTTACTTAGGATGGAAAAGGTCATTAGGTGCCTTTTTAAATGAAGTGATCAATGAAGAAACTTTTTGTTGACTAACAGCATTATGTCTGTGTGTTAATGTTGGATATAAGAGTGGCAAATATGTACTCAACTGCAATGGTTGGGTAAATATTGCTGCTTCACTTGACCAGGATGAATCAAATCAAGCATTTCAATAACTGACCAAACATGATGATCAAAGATAGAGAGAGTTAATGGTAAGAACAACAACAACAGCTGTTGTATTGATCAGAAAACAATCAGGAATCGTTGCATTGATAGTCAAACAATGACATCCAAATGTGGTGTCTATTAATTATACAAATACAACAAAACAGACATGGGATAAATCTTTTATCTTTCATGATGAAACTGATTTCCTTCACTAATTGTTTCAGGAGTTATAAGAAGGAGAGAGCTTCTCTTTTTCTTATATCCAGCATATATTAATATAGAGTCTGTATGCATAATTAAACAACTAATTAAATATTAATAGAGTCTCTACAAGAGCTGATTCACATATTCTCAGCTGATATCAATGGTGATTCTTATTTACCAAAGCAAGCAAGCCCTGCCCTTTTGAAAGAATCGTAATCTTATGGTTAGATGGAACTGTAAGTTCTATGTTAACTGTTTCTTCCAGTCAAGTTTGATCTCCAATAATTTAAATTCAAAGTCAATCATTATCTTTTGTCTTTTTAGTTCATGTTCTTTCATTGTTCCCATTCCTTAATAATATTATTCTTTTTTTTATATTCTTTCACACTCAGTAAACCCCTGCATCTTAGTGGCTTTGTTCCTTGCTTGGAGTGAAATGATAAAGAAAAAAACAGGTAGCCTCAGACTTTTGTCCAATAATGTAGATAGTCATCATTGAGTGTGTGAATATTTTATGTGTATATATATATATATATATATATATATATATATATATATATATACACACACACACAGAATAAGTGCTTTCTTATACTGGGTGTCCATAGAGTTCGTGTGCACTTTAAAAGATTAATAACTTTATTTGTATTTGCAATAGAAATAATTTGTAAAAAGGATTAGAAAGATGTAAATCTATATTTTTTTAAGGTTTTATTGAAATTTTTATTTAAGTTTCCACATGTCCTCCATCATTAGCAATACAAAGGTTAATACGATTTTGCAGTTCATGGAAAACATTTGCCAACTGATTTACAGTAATACCCAAAATCACATTAGTTATATTTCTATCGCAAATACAAATTAAATTATAAATTTTTTAAAGTGCACACGAACTTTATGGACACCCTGTATAAAATGATATGGTTCTTCATTATTTTTATTCAGATTGAATTAACTGCTTGATTCCATTCATGTAAAAGCATGAACACCACATGTTGCTGCCACAACCCCCACCCCATCCTGAGAGAGGCCAATCTTCCACTTGAATGACCGAGACAGATCACTGAGACGTAGGATATCAGTAATTAATAAATAAGGTAAATGACACACGAGAAGGAAGAATAATAGAAACTCAATCAGATCATGCTTATAAAGTAGGATACATTAGCATTGGCAAGCAGCTGCTGAAACAGAAATTTCTTTTGTCTGCCACAGAAGATCCCTCCAAAATGAATGTTTATTTAACCAGAAACTATGTCACCTGCAGTTAGAATGGATTCAAGAGATATTTTCATGAGGTGTGCGCATGTTTTACTTGAGAGAGCAATATTTGACATTTGAGTGAACAATTTTCCAAGTTGCTATAGACAAAGGAGTTGCCAGTTGACAATTTACATGAAAAATGGTCAACATTCCAATGACCATGAACCCAAAGCAAAAATAGCAAACTTTCTTTTAGAAAACCATCAACCTTGGATTATAATCATTGCCTACCTCCATAAAATCTAGCACCCTTAAGAATCTCTATGGTGGAATTAACATTTTCAAACATATTGAGGTTTGGAAACTTCAGTCTTTATCAACATTGGAGACGTCATCATTTCTCCAAAAATTTCATATCAAGTTAAAAATTGCTAAACCGAAGTAGCCTCATGTTGAAGTTGAAAATGAAAATTGTGAATTCTATTCCAACAAGAATTGAAATTGCATGAGAAATTAGAGACTGAAAAAAAAAAAAAAATAAAAATAAAAAAATTTTTTTTTTTTTTTACAAAAATACCGAAATATGAAAAAAGTAAAACTTCCATAAATAGAAAAGACAAACAGCTGATGCTGGAGAACATAATCTTACAAAGACAAACAGATACACATCAATGAGAACATTTTTAGGTCTACTGTATCTCCATCCATAAATGTAAATACGTAAAAGACAATGTCCTGTCTACATATATATCAATCTCTATCTTTCTCTCTCACATACACACACCATTAAGCACAGGTAGATTTAAACATGTCCAAAACACCATGTTTACATTGAGGAGTAATGCTCCGGTCTTTTGAAGAGGAGTAGAGGTTTATCCCTTATTCCATGTTTAGGATTAGGTTTCCAACTCCTAAAGTTTTCTCATTCTGTTTTACTCCCAGTAACCCCTTTGTATCTTAGTGACATTAGTGTCTTGCTTGGGGTGAATTGATTAAAAAAATAAAAAAAAATGTTGTCTCTCTAATGAAGTAAAACATGAATAGAAAAATTTGAATGAGATCCAAAGAAGTCTTCAGTCATGTTAAGCAAAAGAAAGAATTGCCAACAAGTGCTGCATCAAAAGATTTTACTCTCCAAGTGGATTGGTTGATAAATTGGATCAGTCACTACTTAACCCCTTCAACATCAAAGTTTTTTTTTCTTCCTGACATCTGTAGGCCAAGAATTTCTTAAATGAAGTCACTGGAAATGAAGTATTAATCATCAATGTGGAGAAAAAGATGGAGACAGGGCAGACATTTTAAAGTGGGGGATGTTATATAATTAATGTTAATTTGGCACTGAATATATTAAATGTCAAGCCAATTTTTGCAAATGAAGATAAAAATGTAAACTAAATGCGGATAAAGATGATTGGGCAACTTGGTTGGTTGAAAGAAAGTAATAGAGATAATAAGAATGTTGGTTGACAAAAAGTTTCCATTTGGGAAAGATGTCTGCCATTGAACAGTACAGGAATTGCAGCAATGAAAAAAGAAACGCCTGGTTAAGAATCGGTTGGGGTGAGATGTAGGAAGCCAGATTCATAAAGGCTGGATGCAGTTTTCAGAGATAACCATTGTTAGGTGCGCTAAAATGGTGTGATTGCATTAAGGACAATTGTTGGTTGATAAAGACATGTGAGAGAAGAAGGGTGTTGGTCACATAATTGGAGATGGAATGGTGCTTATTTCAGAAGGAGTGCGTGTGAGTGAGAGAGAAAAAAAAAGACACTGAAAGTGTAGACATGAAAAACAGGAAGAGAAAACCACAGACAGGCTGGGTAAAAATGGTGCTGGGGACATTGCAAAAATAAGCAGGAAGAAGAAGGGAAACCTCAAATGTAGGAAGGAAACATGGAGGGAGAAAAGAAAAAAAAATAAATATGGTAAAGGAGAAGAAGAAAATGAGGAGATGCAGAAAAAAAAAGTTATTGGCTCAAACAAGAATCTTATCCAAAAAGATTTCTGATGTTTGGAAACAAATAAAAAAACCCTAAAAATTTTTTAAAAAAATTAAACAATTTAAAAAACAAAAATAATAATCCAAAATTTATTTTTAACAAAAAATTTTATAAAAAATTAAAAAAAATTTTAAACAAAATTAAAATAATAAAAACAAAAAAAAAAATAAAAAAAAAAAAAAAAAACAACAAAAATTTTAAAAAATTTTTTAAAAAAAACAAAAAAAAACCCAAAAAAAAAAAAATTTTAAAAAAAAAAAAAATAAATATTTAAAAAAAAAAAAATTTTAAATTTTTAAAAAAAAATTATTTTTAAAAACAAATCCAAAAAAATTTTTCTTTTAAATTTAATTTTTTTTTCCCCCTTTTATTTTTTTTTCCCCACCTTTTTAAAACCCTTTATATATTTTTTAAAATATATTTTTTCCCCCAAAAAATTTTACCACCCCCAAAAATTTTTTTAAAAAAATTTTTTTTTTTTTTTTTAAAAAAAAAAAAAAAAAAAAATTTTTCCCAACCCCCTTTTTTTTCCAAACTTTTTTCCCCCCCCTTTTCCCATTTTTTTTTTTTTTTTCTTTTTTTTCCCCCCCCTTTTTTTTTTTTTTTTTCCCCCCCCCAAAAACCAAAAATTTTTAAAAAAAAAACCCAACCCCCCTTTTTTTTTTTTTTTTTTTTTTTTCCCCCTTTTTTTTTTTTTCCCCCCCCCCTTTTTTTTTTCCCCCCCAAAAATTTTTTTCCCCCCCCCCTTTTTTTTCCCCCCCCCCCTTTTTTTTTTTTCCCCCCAAAAATTCCCAAAAAAAAAATTTTTTTTCCCCCAAACCCTCTAACTTTTTTTTATAAACCCCACAACATAAAACCAAAAAACCAAAATTAAAAATACACAAAAAAAAATTTTTTTTAAAAAAAATTTTTTTTTCAAACCAAAAATTTTTTCAAACCCACCTACTTTTTTAAAACCCCCTTTTTTCCCCTTTTTTTTAAAAAAAATTTTTTTTTTTCACTTATTTTTTTCCCCCCCCCAAAAAAAAATTATTTTAAACCCCTTTTTTTTATTTTTTACTTTTTAATTTTTTAAAATTCCCCCAAAACCTTTCCCCCACAACCCCAAAAATTTTTTTTCCCCCCCCAAAAATAAAAACCATATATTATTATTAAAAAAAAACACATCAAAAAAAATTTTTTTTTTAAAAACACCAACATAAAAATTTAAAAATTTTTTTAAACCCCCAAATCAAAATAACAAAAAAAAATTTTTTTAAAACCCAATAATCAATATTTATAAAATTCCCTACACCACATTTTAAAAAAACCCCAAAATTAAATTATATAAAAAAATAAAAACTTAAAAATTTCCCAACCAAAAAATATCCAACAAAAAAAAAAACCACCAAATTTAAAAACTATTAAAAAAAATTTTTTAAA